AACTGTCTATTTCCCCTCCCTCCCCCCCCCCCCCCCCCATGTAATGGCTTAAATATCTACAGTTGTGAAATAGTCTCAGCTAATGAATAGCACAAATGTATGGAAATGCAAGTGTTAATATTTATAAAATAATGGAATTATATCAGATAGCTATATAATTTGTCTTTAAGAAAATTACTGCTAGAGACATGAACAGGCCCCCTAGGTGATATTTCTAATACTTCAAAAGCTCCTTTAAAAATGTTTCGATAGGTATATTATAGCAGCTCCTGGTTCCACAGTTCAGGTCTTATTTTTTGTATGTAGCGTGCAGAGTCAACCATATCCTGTATAAAGCACAGAAGCTGTTAAAATAACAGGTTCTTCGCAAATCATACCCTGTAGAGTAGGGGTGGCCAACGCGTTACAGATGAAGAGCCAAAATAGAGGTGGATACAGTGGAAAGAGCGGAGGGAAAAAAAGTTGAGCAAAAAAAAAAAAGCCCTGCTCCCCATTTGGTTAAGCCAAAAAAACCAGTTTGCCCTTTTTAAGTGCAGAGCAGGGATTGCCCTTTTAAGGTGGCCATTTTAAAGTCTGTATGGGACGTGGTGACACTATCTGTCTCTTTGACAGAAACATGCTGCCCCTTTAACAGCCACAGGTGCGGGAGCCACAATTTTTAATTTGAAGAGCCGCAGTCTTACATGGTGGCAGGTGGGGGTTGGGCCTCACCGTCCAGTTTATTAGTATCTCCTCCAACAATAGAACACAACCGGTGCACCCCTCCCTTAGGTCAGTACCCAGGCCATCTCATCTGCCCAAGAGGCCTTCAACTACCCACTTACGTCCAGTGACACCACCCTTTTGTGGATCCCTCCCCCAGTTCGAGTCTCTCTGGGTTCAATTGTCTCTCAATGTCCCTTTTTGTTTTTCCACAGTTCACAGTCCCCACTCGCTTTGGTTGCTGGCCTCGGCTGTCAGTGGCGGAGTAGGGGGACCCGGGCCCTCCCTCTCCTCCAGGTCCTGGCCCAAGACCCTAAGGCGGTGGGGTCATAGTTCCTCCCTTGCCTGATTAGTGGGGAAGCCTCCCAAAACACACAAACCTGCGGGCCCAACGCCTCCATCTTGGCCCACTTCCTACTCTGCACCCCTGACTTGGGGCTCCAATGGGTCGCCACCAAGGGTCAGTCTTACCAGCCATCTATCCGCTATGCAGCTCAGTGGCAGATCAGCCCTAGAGTCCTCTGCGCCATTTATCGCCCAGGGAGTCACTGTCCTCCAGCTCTTCTGGATTCCCATGCCAATCTCTGTCTTCTCTCTGTGGCATCCTCTGTGCCCTTGTCTCCTGGCCCCCAGCTTGGGGCCACCAGGGTAGTGCTGGTGTTGTGCCACTTCTTCCTCCCCCTCCAGTTCAGCATCTGGCGGGTTTTTAAATCCCCTGCCAGGGTTGTGCGTGCATCGTGATGTCGCCGGCGCATCCTGTGACATGCTTTCCTAGCTCCCTCTGCAGGAGCGCACCACCACCCGCCCGGGAGCAGGTGCTGTGCCGCACCACTTCCTCCTTCCAGGCGTCACTCCCCACAGTGCCAGGACAAACCTGGCTGGAGTGTGGGGCTCGAGCGTCCCTCGCGGGACTTGATTGCCCCATCACATGCGGGTTGGCCACCCCTGTTGTAGAGAATCACACAAACATTGCCCTGTTTTCTCCCATTCTTGAGACTGAAGTCCTAACTGGCCCCATTGTGTGTCTATTTTTCCTATTTCAATAGAATTGAAGTCACAAGCTACTTTTAGTAATCATGGTTGCTGACTTGATAATAGAAGCAATGAGTAGTGGTCATTGTGAAATAAGACACCTGGAACTTAAGTTTCACGAAGTTTGGGTGTTGTGGTAAATAATACGAGAGCAGGTAATTGGTACAGAGAAATCCAAATCACTTTATAAGGAGTGACAGATCTGCATGTTTCAGTATTGTCAACTATGAAGTATGCATCTCAGAATCAAACTTGCAGAATGGGGTCGCTCTCTTGGTAAGCAGTGACTCTGAAAAGGACTGGGGGTTATGGATGATAATCAGCTAAGTTTCCAGTACAATGCTATGGCCAAAAGAGCTAATGTGATCCTTGGATGTACAAATGGGAGTCTGGAGTAGGAGTAGGCAGGTTACAGCTATAATTGGCACTGGTGCAAATGTAGCTGAAATATTCTATCCAGGGATGGGAGGCCACAATTCAAGAAGGATCTTGACATTGGAAAGGGTAGAGAAGAGCTAGGAGAATGATAGAGTAGAGCACAATCTATAAAGTTAAGGGGTTGACTTGATCTGTTTACATAGGAGGCAGTACCATGTGGCTAGCTGTTTTTGTGCTCATCTGCAATGGGGAATTTCACAGGAAACTTGCATCTCTTAGGTCATGTCTAGGAGATTATTTAGAATTTACTAAATTTGACTTCTGGGCACCCGACTTTACAAATTGAAAATGCCATGTCCTCACTACAGGGAAGAATCAAATGTTGTCCAAGATGTGCTCATTGTGGTTAGGTGTTCCCGCTAACATTTTCCATCCATGAACTGAGTGGCTGTGTCTAGACTGGCAAGTTTTTCCGCAAGGAAAAACTTGCCAGCTGTCTACGCTGGCCGCTTGAATTTCCGCAAGAACACTGACGATCTCATGTAAGATTGTCAGTGTTCTTGTGGAAATGCTATGCTGCTCCTGTTCTGGCAAAAGCCCTCTTGCGCAAATGCTTTTGCGCAAGAGGGCCAGTATAGACAACGCGTTATTGTTTTGCGCAAAAAAGCCCCGATCATGAAAATGGTGATTGGGGCTTTCTTGTGCAAAACTGCATCTAGATTGGCACGGACGCTTTTCCGCAAAAAGTGCTTTTGTGGAAAAGCTTCCGTGCCAATCTAGACGCTCTTTTCCGCAAATGCTTTGAACGGAAAAACTTTTCCGTTCAAAGCATTTGCGGAAAATCATGCCAGTCTAGACGTAGCCAGTATGTTTTGTCTTGTGTACCAATATTGAGGTCATGTGTGCTTGTGCGGATGTGTGCCACTGTGGCACCTAAGTTATAAACCTCTCCCTTTTCCCCTCTGCTGCCATGTCTCCCTCCTTCCTAGGCCCCATCTGCTCCCCTTGTACCTTCTGCTGCCCCCCTCACCCTCCTCTGCTGGCCTGGCTCCTGCCCTTCTCACTCCCCTCAGCCCTCCTGGGACCTGCTCCCCTCCCCATCCTCTCTGACCCCTGCGTCTGCCTTTCCCTTCCCAATCCCCTCTCCTAACACCTCCCTCTGTGCACTTGCCCTGCCCCTCTCCTCTGCGTGTTGGTGCCTTTCCTTTCTCTCCGTGTCTGCCCTTCTGCTTCACACCCACAGTTCCTCTGACACCTGCACCTTCCCTTTCTCCCTCCAGCCTTCTGGAGCCTCCCCCTTGCCTCACTGCCCCTGCCTTCCCAACATCTGCCCCCTTGCCCTCTTCCCTAGTGCCCACCCTTTCACCACTCTCTGCCACAGTTCTCACACCCTTCTGTGCCCTCACACATGACTTGCTCCAACACCTGCCATCCTCATGCCCACCCCTCCTTTCAAGTCCTCTTTTCCTGGCACACACTCCTC